CCGTTCCTCACTCTCAAGCAAGGTCCTTCTATGCAAATAAAGTTCCATGAAAATTTGGCAGGACACAGGATGTATTTGATTCCTACTGAAATTCTTAGAAGTTAGTAATCAGTGAACAGGGTGGTGTTAATATGTCTGAGTTGTTTGTGATGTCATTGTACTTCATAGGAGCTATATAATAGCCAGGGACTGCAAAATGATTAGCAAGAGGTTTAAATGATCAGGACAACCAGCGTGGGAGGGTTTTAACCTGAACTCTGCTTATTTGGCCTCCCTTAACTGTGATTGTAAAACAACGGTAAATAGGGTTAATTCATGACAAGTAATGTTAGAACAAATTAATGTATTCTGTACTTGCCTTAAGCCAAACCAAATACTTTATGTAATGTTATCGAACTTGTATAGTTAACTAACAGCTGTTACCTTTTTTCTTTTTAATTTCCAAAGTAAAATTTTGAAATTTTAGATAAATGTAAATGAACGTGCCTGCCTTTAAAGGGAGCTTCTGATTATAAAAGACTCCTTGACAACTTTTAAAAAGTACTGTAATGTGCACGGTAACAGTAGTGTGTGCAGTTGACCATGTGATTAAATTTTTTTTTTCAGTGTACCTTTGGCTTACCAGTGCCAAATAATATTCAGGTCTGCTAGAACCACCTCTGTTGTAGCATCCTCCCCCAGTAGATGTAGACAGCAGTTTGTTTTGTGGCATTTGAGGGCAAAAAGAGAATCGTGTCTATCATACAATTTTAAAATTAAAGGGGAAATTTTCTGCCACAATAAGTGATAAATGTTTTTATCTCTGTATGAGCTGAAGACACTTTTTAGATTTTGTTTATAGCAGCTACTTCTATAAATCTTTTTTTCCCACTTTAGAGTTCTTTAAGATGAAGTGGTACTACCAAGGGAAGAGCCAGATTTTATAGGTAGAGATGAAATTTGATCACAATTAAAAAAAAACCCTAAATATCCCTTTAATTTGTGATTAAAGATCAGATACATCGGGGATGACTTGTATAATTCATTCAAAGTTTTGTCACTTAGTGAGCAACAGAACCATCCTTGATCCACAAGCCCTTATAGGGAAACTTTGCAAAATTCTTTTCCGTTAGCAGTGAAGTTTGTTGTAGTTGCTGAGTAAAATATATTCAGGGTTTTTTTTTTTTCATTTTGATCACAGGAGAGAGTAAGTGGGTAAATATTGTACCTGAACTGCTAGACTTTCCTGACGTTCTTGAACTGTGACTGTACTAATAGAAATCGCATATATTTGGCTTGAATAAGATTCAACAAATAGGAAATGGGAATTATTATATTCTTTCAGGAAAGTTGGAGTCCATAATACTTGCTTGTAGTCTATCTCCATTTTTTCAATTAAATGTAAGTGAAATTTGAAGTAGTTAGATTTCGTCTAAATCCACACAGCTGAGGAAACCTGTGCTTGCTCTTTCTCTGAATTTTCACTGAGGGGCTTTTATCTCCCCCTAATCCCACCATTTCTGTCAGGACATAATCTCTTTCTCAAATTTACATTTTAATTACAAGGCCAGCTGAACTAGCTAAAATCAATAATGTCAGCATTCAGCAGCCTAACTTCAGCTGAAATCCCAGCCTCTCTCTTTCCTTCTATCGATTTATCTTGTGAACACGGTCTACTTTATTGCTTCAGGCAAATAGGTGCCATTTGGTCAGTTTAAACCAAAAGGGGATTTGAATGTTTTTATGATTCTTTCTAAAAGCTGCTGTTGGAACAGTTTTAACCTAGGTGCTGTGCTTGAGTTACAGAAAATGTACCGAGCAGCAGAATTATTAAGAGAAATTTTACTTTTAAAACTGCATTCAGTGCCACGTATGTCTTAAACATAAAACCCCACCATGCTGTTAAATACAACTCAAATACTGCTGTTGCCTGTGTAGTGACTCTTTAACCTGTCAGCAAAAACTAATTTTATAAACAAATATTAAAAAAAAAACCACACAGCGGTGGTGGTTTTAATGATGTAGTAATGTATTTACCTTTAGCCATTTTTCTGTTAATGGCTTAAAATAAGAAATCAATGGAAAAATATTTTGTTCTTGTAACCCTTAAGGATTCTTATATTGATTTTTGGATGTGATTTCTATCTATCTATATGTCACATTGTCCATTTATCTTTCTTGCCTTTTCTGTGGCAGTTTCTCTCCCCCCGCCATCAGTATAGTGAATGAGTGATCATGCTTTCCATAAAAATTATAGGGAAAAATTGGAATAAAATTAGGATTTTCTGAGAACTTTTTAACACATACACACATCCTTCCTGAAGAGGAGAAAGATGTGGTGAGAGAGACACACTTCAAGACAACTTGTGAATAGCGCACCCACAAGTGCTCTCAAAACCTTTACTTTAAGCAGTGGTTTTCAGAAAGGTATTCTTGTCGTAAAAAGTGGAGTTCTGTGGAGTCACCATGATCTCTTGAAAGGCAAATCCACAGCCTAGTAAATCTTTTGATTTGAGATTGTTTCTTTTGCTACTTAGCTTAGATGTTCCTCTGCTTAGTTCCATCCCATTATGCTTAATTATAATTTCCCTTATTGATGGTCCTCTTGCTAATTTTCAGATGACTTTCAAACATAGAGATTAGTCTTTTGAATGAATTTTTCAGAAGTTTTTAAAGCCCTGTTAACTTTGGGAAGGAAAGTTAGATAAGGTGAGCATGCCATGTTCATTACCTTCATTAGGAAACGTGATGTGGGCATGACTGAGCAAGAGAGTGATAGCATCAGGTCCACTTCTTGGTGGCATTACCAACAGCCAGCAGAAGCTGGCCCACCTGTGTCCACAGCTGTAGGCAGGTTCTCACCTCCCATCTGAGGAGAGAAAAGCCAAAAAGGGGTGATCTATCTTGGCATCCGTTCTAAGTTCAATTCTCAGGAAGCACTGGACAGCTAGAGCTGTGCTCCGTCGTCACGATTGAGACTTGTTGAAGAATCTCGTCTCACGGGTCCTGGTTGCAGCACAGCATCTTCTGGAGGGGCACCTAACTTTGATTTCCACGTGTGTGCGTTTCTGTATGCCCTCATGAGGTTTCTGTATTTTAAATGTATATGACTTAAGATTAAGTTATGGAATTTTTAGTTACTGATAGTTATTTAGAGTGTTGTGGTACTTCGTTATTGTAGATATCTAAGGGAAAATAAGCGTGCAGTAGATTTTATATATTTTATGACATATTTCATGATGTACGCTTATGTAGACTCTGGTAAAAAGCAAGTTGCCCTGATGTTGTACATGTTAAATATGTTTTTCTCTGAAATGAAAGTAATTTATGCACCAAAGTTACCTGACACTACTGGTCTGCAATCGCCCGCTCAGTGCCGAGAGTGTAGATATCCCGTTAACTTTTCCTTTTCTGGTTGATGTCTTGTGATGTAGTCAATAACCAGTAAAACAGGACAGCAAAGGAAGAGTAGTGCTGAATACAACTTCAGGGCTGGTTAGAAGTGAACAAGAGACCAAAAGTCCCAGTTAGATGATTGCTAAAACATGTCAGATAGACTCAGATTGTTTTCTAAATGAAGGCTGTGATAATTTGCTGGAAGTTTTAGTCCTGTGATATCATGATTTTCTTTTTGTGTTGATTTTGGTTTTTGGCGGGGAGGGGGTGTGACCTTGCATTTCAGTTGCTTACCTTATAAAAAGGCTTTCTTCTGTTCTAAAGGTGATGTAGTCTGTTATGTTAGCATGGGGGATCATGTCTCTCCATTTTAGATGTTGTTGGTTGAAAAGTTCTCGTTACTACTGCCAGCTAATAAAGTTGCTTCTGCAGCTCACTGGTAGAGGCATGTGCTGTCTAACTGCCCAGCCTATCTAATTGCATCATTACAGTCTACGCTGACTGTTTAATCTAGCTGTAGAAAGTAATTATGTTGCCCCACCACAGAGCTGCTGGTGCTGAAAATCTATGCTTGGTCCTGCCTTGCAGTGGGCTTGTTCCTCAGTTATAACTCGGGTAATTAGCGTCTCTTTGCAGTGCTCTGCGGCCATACTCTATGCTTCTGTCAACACTTAAATATTTTATCTTGACAAAGAGTGTGTCCCAGTGTATGTGAAAGCAGAAGGCTCTGTAGTCTGAGAGTGTATTTTGGATTTGAAACTTGCGAGTTGTGAGTGGTGCTGCCCTTTAACAAATCGCTAAGGAAAAAGAGAATGTATGTATAGCCCCTCGAAAGATGGTGTGTGTTCTAGGCTCAAGTGTGAAGGTTCAGTCTGGTAGCTGAGAATCATCAAAGGACAGGGAAGCATCTCAAAGAGACTTTATTTTTTCACCTGGTGTGCTGTTTCCCTGTCAGCCCTGCCGGATGGTGATGATTCCCGTTCTTGTCAGTCATGCTCGGCAGTGAAGCATCCTCCCAGCAGTGATTTCTCTTTGCCAGGCTGTAAGAGTTTTAGCGGTACTTTTTGCTAAGACACCATAGAGAATTAATCTCAGCACACAGGAGAATATGGATATCTGAGTTTCATTTTGCTTTCTCTTGCTCTGGGATTTCTTTCTGGGCTCTGAGTGTTGCACAGGAAACTTATATAGTGTTAGTAGTTCCTTGCTTCTGTTTTATCTTGATGTAACCTAGCATACAGAAATAACGTATGAGCAAGCTGATGTGACCCTAGAAACTTGTGTACAAAAAGCAATATTGCAATTTAAACAAGCATATATTGTTAAAACCCTTCTTTCCAAGGTGAAGTAACATCATTCTTTGCATCATGCCATGTCGTAGAAATTAAAACATTGTTTTGCTCTACTTAGTTACTCACTGCATTTCTGTACCAAAATAAGAAAGCTTTCACAGACAAATACCACTGTTGTCTGCTGGCCTCTATGAGTAAGATGATGTCTAATGTGACCTGAAAGCAGTAAAATAGCCCATTGAAACAAAATCTGTGTTCTGAGCTGTTTAGCCCTCCTGTAAAGTGTTCAGGGGAAGGAAAGAAACCCCTCATAAACATCTAGCTCTTTTGCAGGGCTAGAGCCCCTGTCGCCTCCAAATGTACCAGTGAGGAAGACGTCAGTAGGACTGGCTCTGGTGAGCTCCCAGACCCAGCCGGAAGGCAACGAAGATGAGCTTGACCCAACCTGTGCAGCTGCAACACTGAAACTTATTAGAGACAAGCTACCGAAGTTATCACCTCCATACACGAGGTTCTCTTCATTTTAATTATTTTAGAGACCGCTCTCTATTACTTGTATTTGTTAATAGCAAAAGTGTTTTGAAAAGTGCATCCTGAAATGGGTAGGCTAAAGGTTAAGGCTGTGTTGCTTTCACTTTAAAGTTAAATTTTTTTTTTCCTTAGATGTACATTTACTGCTTTAAAATTGGGGCTTTTGCTAATGATTGCACCAGGCTCTTGAGAAATCTTGTATTAATAAGTTGGTTTAAGTTGTATTTGGTGTAAATGGGGGATTTTTTTAATAGTGTCCAAGATACCATTTCCTAACCAAAAAATCCATCCCCGTTTGTTGAGGGTTTTTTTGATTTTACAGCTAAACAGATCATAGCCCTAATGCTAAATTAGAGATTAGTTTCAACAGTCTCAGGTTTCCTAGTGACTTATGCTATCAATGCTGTTTTGGAAGCATTGTTGTACTGATTTCAAAGAACTATTTATTGTCAGTCTTATTCAAAGCTTGCTGAAATGCCAGCCTGTCTAAGATTTACCTGCGAGTCTGTGGCCATGAGAGTGGAGTAATTAGTTAATGGTATGTTGTTCCAAAAAAGACACTTCTACACTGTCCAGGAAAAAAAAAAAAACCCAAACCTAGCAAACTGGAATGTAATCTCAGAAAGAGAAAGAGCTTTACTCCTTTGGATCTCTTGAGTTTGGAGTATTTTAGTTGGCAAAAAAAGCTTATGTTTCAGAAAGGGTGACTGAGACCATTCAGCATTGTATTACAGAATACCTGAGATCTCCATAATAGCACTCTGCTTTTTAAGGACTAATGAATTTAGCAAGGAATGCTGTAGCTTTGGACTCCAGCATTCTTTGGTCAAAGAAAGAAAAGCAAATTGCAGTCATTGCTTATGCTGCTTATCCTATTTGTTTATTTTGCTTCATTTCATTTGTTTGTTGTTTATATCTATCTCTTTTTTGCCCATATATATGAAAGTTAGGCAGCTTGCTTGTACAGCTTGCTTCTTTTCTTAAGCAATTTTTCCGTAAGTAATATAGTATTACACCACACTGCCAATTCCATCTTTATCTTAGCAAAATATCCCGAAGATATAAGCTGGCACTCTGCCAACAAAATGACTGTAGTCTGCAACTGCCATACACACGTGGGTATGAATTCACAGAAGCATGACTATTATAAATTCAGTCTGCAATACAAACTCTGTAGCTCCTGTTACAGTACAGCAACATATGATCCATACATACTGCTTCACCTATAGACCTCTAGGCTTCTGCACCCATGATATAATATGTTTTAGCTAGCTGTAGCTGAATGTGTGGTGCACTGTGCTGTACTTAGTGTGAAGTGTAATAAGTCTGTATCCTATTTAAAAAAAAAAAAGTGGGAGGGAGAGAATTCTGCAAAAGGTGGTTGAAGTTCTAGATCTGAGCTAATGTTTGTGTGAGAAGTTAATGGAAACAGAGAAAAAGTTGTGATCGTTGCTGTTTTCTGTTGACTTTCCATAAACTTTCTCCAGCAAGTCTGCAACTACTGAGCAAGCAGCTTTGGAAGAGCCCGACAGTAAAATAAGAAAACTGGAAGAAGAAAGAGCTAAAGCTCCCATCATGCCTTTTGGATTAGATCTTCACTACTGGGGACAGGACCAGCCAAGTGCTGGGAAGATGCTCAAGTAAATGCTCTTTTTCTTTTAAGAGAAATTTAAAAAAAAAATAAATAGACTTACTTGTACTCAGAGGTCATGCAGAAGGGTGAATCCTATTGTTTTTGATAATTACTTTTCTTCTTTCTCATGTGTTATGGGACCTGTAAATCTAGTCAGAAATTCTAACAAAAGGTATTTATTTTAAGAGGATGTGATACTAATCAAATATCCTTTGATGAATCAAAGCACGTTTTTCTGCTTTTTTCATGTTTGTGTATTTGCAGCATGGCAGCACTTACTCCAATTTAAATTGGTACCTCATTGTGCAAAGTGCTATGCAAGTACATAACAGATGATCCTTCTGCTGGAGTTTTACAGTCTAAATAATACAAACAGACAAGGTAGGAGAAAGACTGGGGAGGAAATAGTATTTTTCCTGACTTTACAGAGCGCTAACTGGGGAAATTGATAGGCTTGCTCAGTCGCACAGGAAATATGCGGCAGTGCCAGAATTTGAATTTGAATCTCTCAGCTCTGAGTTCACTTTTCATTCTTGTCTGGGAAGGTTCTGTGGTTTTTTGGGCATGAAGCAGTGCTGGCTTTGGGAAAGCGCTTTTAGCTTTTAGCAGCGCTGGGGAGAACTGATTATAGCTGTACATCAAGAACTTGTTTCTAGCAGTTTTTTTAAAACCTTTTTTTAGCCTTTTCTAATATTTTTATGTGGATTCAAAGGTATCGTCTGTATAAATTTTGTTCAAATCCAGTAGAAATTTAGGGTCAGTATGCATGAAGAAAGGCCTGAAGAAAGGCAAAAATCATTGACTGGATCAAACTTATATGTCCTCAGCAGTATTGTTTTAATTTTGAGTTTGTTTTCTTACCAAAGCCAAAAAAAAAAAAAAAATTGCAATGTGGACTGGAGTAATAATGCCATATAAACAAACCGTAAATGATGCTGCAGCATGAAGCCTGAGCGAAACATCATCAACTTTTCCACATTTGCACACTGAGGAATATTGGATTCCCTGACATAAATTCTTCTGTTCCGCTTGATGTTTCATGTAATATTCTTCTTCATCTACCACTTTTCAGAACAGTAGCTAGATGACTGTCTTGCCACACTTGCCGTCCTCGTTTGTTGGTTTCCAATGCCTTTCTTTTTGGGGATGGGGAAGCACTAAATGGCATCAGTTGGATTGCTTTTGTCACAATTCACTCCGGTTTGATTTAACTCTCAGTGACAGCATTTGCAGAAAGGAACAAGAGGAAGGCTCTGTCCCTCTACTTGATTTTATAAAATGTTGCATCTGTTTTAAATTATTGAAAGCCAGTGAAATTTGATGCAGCAAAGTGTTTTAACACAGTCACCCCAAGCTTTGGGTTCTGTCTGGTGAGGTGTAAGCTTTTCAAGGCCTATACAATGGTTAAGATTTTCAGCAAGGCTTTAAGAAGCAGTTGTCTGTGATAATGACAAAAAGGTAGTAAGGCTTTATTTTACATTGCAAATGAGTTATTCAAGTCATAAGTGAAATCAAAATCATATTTCACTGCCTGCCTTGTGCTGTACTGTTTTATGCTTTCCAATAAAATAGAGGGCACGCTTCCGAACCTTACAGTCTATAACTACAGGTATGCCAATCTAACCAAAGATAATTTAAGTAACTCTGCACACACAATACCATTGACCCCGGGTATAAAATATATTTATGGAAAAATTAAGGTAGTCATTGGCCAACTCCTTTAACTTGTTCTGTATGCATGCATGCTGTCTCTATAGCATGCTTAGAACAAAAACAGAACTACGTATAGAATGTGTAGGGACTTTGAGTTTCTAAAACCTGAATAGCCTTTCCTCTTCATTTTTTTTTTTTTTAACACTACAGTATACTTCACTACAGCATTAAGGAGAAATTAAGATTTTGAAATACTGATAGTGAGACTGTAGCTATCATGAAGATCATTTCCTAAACAAGTTTTGATTAGCTGGTAAATGATGAACTGGCACTTTCTGTAAAAAGTGAGAGGAACTGTTGACTTTATAAAGAGCTTGGAGCAAACCATTTTTCCTGATTTCACATTTGTTCAACTCATTAAGCTAGTTCAAGAACTCTTAAAATGAGTTTAAACAGCTGTAGTTGTACTTCTAGGGGGTCTGTGTATACTGCAGAGTGTTGTACTGTATAAAGCCCACTATATCAGCTTAAACTACCTTTTTGAGTAGCATGGCCCCTCCAGGCTGATTTGCCTTCCTCTTTGAGTTAAATCAGCTTACTCTTAGCATCAGGGTAAATTAGGTGATACACAGCCCTTTACTACTGTGGCCAGAGTGTTTCTGATATTCGGTTAACTCATTTAGAGCTTGTTCCAGGATCTCTGTGTACATTGTACTGGTTTTAGAATTTGTATTTACTTGAGCTTCCCGTTATCTTAATAACAAAGTGTATATAAATTTGTTAAAAAAGTGCAACACTCGTCTTTCAGATTCTTGTTTATTTTAGATTTCACTTAACCACTGTTTATGTGTTACTCCTCCTAATGTTGCAGGTATGCATGAAATTTCCATTAAAGCCTCTGTTATTTGTCCAGATCAAAAGCACTCTGAGTGGGGTGTTGATTTTCTAGCTGATCAGCTACTCCTCTGCTGATCTCACTTACAAAAAGCTTTTACTTGTCACATGCATCTTTTTTCAAAGATCTCTTGTGTTTTTCTGCCCCTTTAAAGCATTGCTTAAATTAGAGCAACAGAAAATGAGAAAACTTTGGGATTGGGATTCAACACTGCGTGGTTTTTTTTTCTCACCTGCTTGTAAATGTTTGGAGGAGAAGATAATTTATATGATTGCAGTAAACAATAATACTTATGAATGTCTGTAGGAGGCAGTCTTTTGAGACTGGTTCCCAAATACTGAGCAACGCTATATAGAGTAAAACATAGTTTTGATTCCCTTGAGATTTGTTGGATGTAGATTTGGGTGGGGGGGGCAAAATATTGAATAGAACTTTTTCCTAATAGGAAAGGCTGGCACACACAACTGTTGAATGCTTCATCATTCTCATGTAACTGTAATTTGATAATGTAGAGGTGGAGGGGAGATCAGGCTGCCATTTAGCATTAGAATTTTACGCAAAGATTCTGTAAGCCTACTTTGCGCATAGCAATCCAGTATGGTATCTTTTTTTAGACTGCTTTCCCCTCCTTGTGTCTCTAAGGTTATTAGCATAGAGTTATTAACGTTTATGAAGTTAAAGTACTGTACCATTCAAAAGTTTTTTTTTTTTCCACTCAGGGGTCCTTGCTTTCTCTCCCATTCCCCACATCCACTGACATGGTACTAATCTTCTTTACACCATATTATTGGAGACTATATTTACATATATATGCCTGTAAATACAGGCGAAATCACTAGTATTAAAGTAGATTTTCAGTGGATTGCACTTGTTTCCATGAGGAACCCCCTGCCTTAAGTTTCTCAGAGCTATTGCTGGTGAATAGAATAGTCTACCTGAGCCTATGGGAAAGAATCTCCTTAAGGCTCAACTGATTTTTTCCCTCTGTTCTTTGGTCTCAGAATATTGCAATAAATTCTGAGTTCAGCTCCTGCTTGTCTGCTGCTACAGGGGTACAGCTGCCAAAAATAAGATCGGACAAGTTCATAGATACGTAACTGTTCCCTCCCTGGTCTGTCCTCTGTGTTCCGTAGTAGAAATATTTTGTTAAGAAGAGCGTTAACTGCAGAATTACAAACCAAGTTATTTACTGTAATTGGCTATTGGATGAATTACTCCAAATGCCAGCTCACGCACTAGCGCTAAGACTGGTAATAGGTGAGCAGGTTAAACAAGAAATTGAGGTGGACAGGATATTTAGAAATTCAAGACGTTAGGCTTTGGTAATATTCTAAAAAATGTTTTCATGATATGGTAGTCGTGACAATTTTATAATTTGCTGATTAAAACTTCCCCTTCTTCTACAGGTTTACTAAGGGATGATAGTGACATCTTTATGTGCTTTCTTACATACTAGTCTTATGTCTGATTCCGACAGTTCAACAAGACTGGACTGGAAAGGCACACCTTTGCCTCTAGACAAATAATTTTTGTTCATTGTTTTTCCAGATTTTCTTCTCAGCATCGTTTTTGGGCACCCAGTGAAGTGGAGGATGAGATCGAAAATAAAGAAGTAACTGAAATGTTAAAAACTAGATATATAACCTTTGCTGGGAAGTTTGAACCAGTGAAACACAAATGTCGAGCACCAATGCCTAATGGAAGTCTGTGCGAAAGACAAGATCGGATTAAGGTGGGCGCCAAATAACCTAACTTCCGAGATATGTGCTGTATGGAGAAGATATCACTAAAACGTTTTTACAAATGTTTATTCCAATTCCAAATATAGCTAAAAGGAGTAAATGAAAATTGTATCTGGAGAAATTTGCTGTTGTTTTGTTGCAAATGGGAAACATCCTTTCTGTAAGGAAGTTATAGATGTTTAAAGATCTCTCATATTTGGCATTGATCATAGGTGTGTTTATTATATTTATTACTGTGATATTTGATTCCTTGACAGTGAAGCAGAGGCAATGAGTTGGTGGTTGAATAGTTTTCCTCATTTAAAGGTATGTTTGATATTAGCCATTTTTAGTAACATGGGTGTTTTGGTGGCAAAGAGTTGGATTTCATTTACAGATTAGGTTTTATGAAAGATAAATCCTACGCAACCTCAAATTACGAGGGCTTTTGAGCAGAAATGCTTTGCTTAAATGCTTTGCTCTGATATTCCAGTTCTTCCTGTATTATCTAAGACTGAAGGATCTGAATGTGCTAAAATGCTTTAAATGACACTGTTACATGATAGGGATACAGCTTATATAACAAAATTCAATATAGCTTTAGTTCCAGAGGTGACCGGATATACTACCTGGCTCTTGAAGATGGGAATTCATGTCACAAAGAGCTTATTTCTTGGCAATTGTGAATATATTCAATGTATGATGTTCAAGGGATCCTAATGCCTTCGAATGGGGACTGGGGATCAGGCGTAAAATCGAATGAAGTTTTATCACCTCATTCCAGTGTCTGGCTGTGAGCCCTGCTGAATTACATGAAAAAGTTTTCTTTTCATTCAGAAGTTTTGAGAGTTTTTCCTTTCTTTCTTAAGTGCCCTTTCCATGGAAAGATAATTCCTCGGGATGAATCTGGGATTCCTGTTAACTCAGAGGACAGAGCCAGAGAAGAAAAGATGCAGTTTGAGAAGCAAGCAGCCCAGCCAGGTTTGTGTCTACATAGCATCTTAAAAAAAAAAAAAAAAAAGAAAGAAAAAGTGTCAAAATAGTAGATCAAGGTGGGAGATAAGCCTTGAATGTAAGCCTAGGATATTAACGTTGTTTTTTGGTGCAGTCCTTCCCTGAAAGCAATTGCTTTATGGGCATAATTTGATAGTGTCACAGGCAAGAGTTTGGAAGGGAACTGTTCAGTACTACAATATCAGCGGATACTGCTATCTTGCACCTAAATGTGTAAAAAGACACAATTGTGTGAAGACTTTCTCAAAGACTTTACGAGTGCAAGTACTTTTTGGTCAAGGTGGCAGTACATAAAATTTTGTAAGTTGAGGCCTCTTTCTAGATATTACCAGAAGTGATTTTGTTGTTGTTACTGTTTTCTTTCTTTAGTTAAAAATCGCGTCTCTGTTTTAGTCTTAAACTAATCGGCTGTTGAAGACTACAGTTAACTGAAGCCCAGCATGTGGGACAGCACACAGGTTGCACCGCTGTGTAATGGTGTGATGTGGCTCGTGCAGGAGCAGCTAAGCTAAGTTAACTAGTTTAGGTATTAATATCAGGTTTCTTTCAGCAGGCTCTGAACATCACAGATCTCCTTGGCAGGCCAGATAGCTAGGTCAGATGCCTGCACAAACTGTAATCACAGTTTTAGTGAGCAAGGAGGTAGTGCTGAGTTTGGGGTGGTCTTGGGGACCGTTTTTCTTTCTTGCTGTTAGGATTTACATTTTTATTTATGTATTTATATACCATTTCACAGGGTGACAAAACCAAAATGTTTCAAAGCATTTTTTGGGGGGTTGTTGTTGTGGAGTTTTTCTCCATGAAAACCAGCCAAGTAGGCTAATAAGGTAGGGAGAAATGGGGAGAGAATAGAAACTGAGGAAAAGAGAGAGAGGCAGAGGGGTCAAAAAGCTAATCTGGAGCTGCTGAGCCTCTTGGAGTGAAGTTTTGTAGAACATGATCTAGTCAAGTTGGAAAGGTTGTTTTGATTTTATGCATTGTCATTTTTTGCAGAACCACTGAGACTGTTCCCAACTAGCTGAAACTAATTTAATGGAGGAAAACAAGGGAGAAGGACTTTTGCAGCCATTTCTCATTGAGTTGTGACTGGCTGAAGACTAGTACCTAAAAGAACTTGTAAAATTCTTAGTTATTGTGTTAGATACGACTTGTAGGAACAATTATGATTTATGTTGCTAGTAATTTCTCTTTCTAGATGCCACTTCGGCCTGGATTCCATTGAAGTGCTAACTCTGTAGATGAATCCTGAAAACCTCAGCTTTCATTAAGCCAAAATTATTTTTAGCCCTTATGATTGTGAAGAGAATGTTGCATGAGCATAATTGCTACTTAGCGGGTATGGAAAAATAACTTATTTAGATAAAATTTTAGTTTTAAAACAGGTGGTCTTGAGAGGCCCATAATAACTCCAACTTATATGAGAGAATCTGTTTGTAGTCAGGTAGATGTCTTCGTGGCTCTACAAAGATATTCAGAGGATTATACTTAACAGCCAAAGGCAGGTCTATATATGATTTGTACATTGGGACACACAGCTTACCTAAAAGGAGGAGGAAACTGCGGCAGGAGGAGAGAACCAGCCTTCCTGAGAGCTTCTCTGTGTACAACAGACCGCTCAGCGGGTAGCTCTGTGGGGGTACCTGCCCAGCTGTGATCCACTGAGAGGCAGGGATGCCTGCCTGCCCCCTTGGGCAAATTTCAGTCACCTGGCCTGAACTTTTCTTGTCTGTGCTCTGAGTTTTGGGTTTAAGGGTTTGCAAGGGTTGTGTTGTTGTTTTTTCTTTTCTTGAAAGCTTCAGCAACTGTGGTTGAAAATTCAGAGAAATAAATCAACTTTGAAAAAACTTTCATTACTTCCCCCCCCCCCCCCAACACCACCGTACTCCTTTTTATCTTTCT